AGCTCCTCCTCTTATGCTTGCTACAGTGCTCTGGGCAGCAGGTAGGGAAGCGCCAGGGGGGCAGGGAGAGGCTGCAGCTGGGAGGAAGCATGGAGCACATTGGCCTGGTTTCATCAGATGGGGCCCACCATTTCTCACATGCCTCATGTGCCACTGGGGGGAAGTTCTACATGATGGAGCCAGCAGCCTTTGCTGCTCCCACATGCCAGACTGGGACTCTGCCAGAAGTAGCAGGGAGCCCCATGCAGTGGAGCCAGGCCGAATAGGCCCCACTCCCTTGTTCCCGACAGAATCCCAGGAGCTTCATATAGTGGCAGGGAGTGGGGCCAGGCCACCAGCTCCTCCTTCACGGCGTGTGGTTCTGGCTGGGTTCCAAGAGCTGCATGTGAGACATGGGGAGCCCTGCATGATGGAAGTGGGCCAGCCTGGCCCTGCTCCGTGCAGCCCCCAGAAGTGGCCAAGGCTGGGCACCACAAGGGGGGCTCTACCTGCGCAGGACATGAGCTGCCCAAAGGCCTGCTGCGTGCTGTTGCTGCTGCTGCCAGCAGTGGGGGCTGTGCACCTTGGGGTGAGTTTGGGCAGTTCACCCTCTCCACACACACCCACACCCCATCTGCACCCTTCCCCACACACACAGCCACACCCCTCCACAAACCCCACACACACCCAGCCCCCACCCCCACACCCCCCGTAAACCTCATACCCACCCAAACACGTACCCAATCCACCACGCACACCCCTACTCCCTCGCAAACACAGTATACAAGAGTAAGACTTTATTTTTGAGCTATTATGCAATCACTGCTATATACACTACACAAACACATGTAAATCAGGACAAAAGTATTTTTTTAAATAAAATTAATATATGTTAAGTAGATGTTTGATTTTTAGCATATGATTTGGATTTTTTCCGGTTCTAAAATGGCAATCCTTTCCCCCACCCCTGTGCCAATTATTGAAAGAATTGCCCACCCCTATGCTAATATGCAAATACACTTCCCTGGCAAAATAGTAGTTAAATTGTTTGCACTTGCCTATAGCCGGTTTTGGCATGGCGGTTTTTGCCTTACTGCTTTCCATGCATGTGTTATAAGCATGCTGCATGAGAAAAAAAATACTTAATATTAGCAAATACAGAGTACCCATAAGTGTGGGCTGGATTTTAATCCTGTAATATAGCCTGAGTTAGGAGCAGTGGTTAGCTACCCTTGCTCAAGAAGAGGGCAAGAACCAGACAGTGGCTGTAACAGCCAAAACCTGGTCCCTACTTCCTCTTTACTCCAGAGAAGAAGTAATTTGGGTAATCCCTTTTCCACTGTTACTTTTCTCTCTGCACTGGCAAGGATTGTCATGCACTTTACATCTATTTGTGAGGAAGAGTAAATAGCAGCTCTGCCTAGTTCCTCGTCCATTGAACTCCTTCATGAGTGTTAATTTACAAGGCTGTCATGAATACATTTGTTAATATTTCTTTATCTGTGGGCAAATTGAATCATTTTTCACCACTGGTATTCCACATAACCTTCTCCCATGCTATTCATTTTAGCTCTTATTCTTCTAGTCTCTGTATGTGCCGCTGTCCCTATCTCCCTACCTTCCTCTATTACAAGCTTTTACTTTATGTTATAATGATATTCTTCCTCAACAGGTTGTGAATGCTTTACAATGCATATTTGAAAAGTGTCTAGATTTTTATGTGTTTAGGCACTACCTCTTTACTTCATTCTCACCATAACAATTCTTGTCAAGTCCACCATCCCCTTCATCCTTGACAAGTATGACCCCGCTCTCTTAAGGCTCCAAATGCCACTCACTTTATCCAGTTTTTTTCAGTATTCTCATATAAAAACACTCCTTCCATTACTAAGTTCCCATTAAGATATTCCTACTAAATCTGATTAAGATACCCATAACACCTACAGTTCCTTCTTGGTCTCACCTTCCTGCTTTTTTGTTTCTTCCACCTTTGTATGATCTCTATTCATAGGTACAGACATTTGAAAAGCCTGAGGCAGAATCGACCTGTTACACAGTTTTCTGGAAGTGGCGTAGGTTAAATAGGTAGTAAACAGAGCACACGTTCGCCCTTTGGTTGGGGGGTGCAGGCTGCCTGCACTAACTGAGGCCTGCAGGTTGGGTGAGCTCTCGCATGCCTCCCAGTGTGGCCTGCAGGCTCCCCAGGCTGCTGGAGACTGCCAAGAGCCGCTGAGCACCCTGGCCACCCCGACGAACAGCTGGGAATGGTCAAGCACATGCCCAGTGCCCTGCCATATCTTCTGTGAGCCCCAGATATCTGTCAGCTGCAGGCAGGCAGCACAGGAGGGAAGGGAGACTTCTGTGTCCCTCTACCAGCCCTAAGACCTGGGCACTCACAACCCTGGGCTGGGCCCCTGCACGCCATCATGAAGCACCCCACAATGTACACACAGACCTGACCCCAGTGAGCAGGCACAGCCCCACAAAGCCTGACTGGGCTGCCAAGCATGGGCAAATATTCCCCTCTCTGGCTGCCTGCTGCAGCAGGCAGATGCCTGTGGCTGATAGATGATGCCGCAGGGAGAGAGCGGAATGCTCACCCCTGCCTGGCAGCCCAGTCAGACTCCACAGGACTGCACCCACTCATGGGGGAATGGGAGTGCCTGGGTGGGTCTGCAGAAGCCAGGGTTGGGCACTGTGGGGCTGTATCCACTCATTGGGGCTCTCCTGGGATCAGTATCAGGTCTGCATGTATGTCGTGGAGTGCTTTGCAATGGGGTGCCAGGTCATGGCCAAGGGACGCAGGTGCTCAGGTCCTACGGCTCGCACCGGGACAAAGATACCTCCCTTCTCCCTGCTCCCCATTGCCTCCCTGCAGCTGGGAGATGGCCAGAGGCAGGAGACAGGGCTGTGGAAAGGGTCTGTGCTGGCTGAATCGGCTCTGGAAGAGCTTGGGGGTGGGGCCCACTGAGCACTTGGCCAGAGCAGCCAAACACAGACTGAGTGCTAGCTCACCTCCACGCAAGGGAGGATTATAGAGGGGCCACAAAGGAGCTTGGGATGCCAGCAGACAGCAGCCTAACTTGAATCAATAGGAGATCTGATACAGAAGTTCAATTCACTGGTCTAACGTAAATCGATTAAGTTTCAGTGCACATCGTTCCAGGTCTATCTTAGGCTGGGGTCTGCCATTTTTAAACCAGTCTATGTGCACTGACCTTATGTTCTGTTATGGGTACAATTTCCTACCACCTGTATCAGTAAAACTGTAATATTTGTACCTGATGTCATTTATGAGGATACCCCATTTTATCAATCAGAAAGCATTTTGTCATTTACCATTTCTGTTCAAGACTGCAGCTTTTATAGTCTAGTTTTTGAGACCATGTCAGATTCCTCAGGAGACTGAACCCAGGACTGACTCTGATACAGGGCTTTTGGATTACAGCAGTCTTATTTGTCTTTGTGTCCCCACCAGTCTTCAACTTTCAGGGAAGTAATGGAACCAGGCAACTTTCCTAAACTGATCCAGCATTTTCTTATGAATAAGACTGCAGCCAACTGTCTATTATTTTTTGCAACGTGAAATTTAACAGAGTCCAGATCAGCATGAGTGACATACCCAACAAATCTTGTTTTACATGCCATCTCAACTCTTCATTTTCCCAAGCAGGACAGCTTAAAAAATCACTCTTCTCATACCTGATCTCCATTCACCACTCCTTGGTTCCTGGTTCTTAAAAGTTAGTGTCCCATTAACGAAGCTTTCTTTGTGTTCATAGGATTTCATTCCTTAGGGAGATGTCTCCATTTAGTTTCTGGTGAGTCAGTTCATGCCACCCAGACACCTACATTTGGTTTTCCCATGTATCACACTGACAGCCCAGAACAGAAGTTAGATCATTCTAGGTAACCATACACAGGAAGATGGGGGAATGGGCACAAATACTGTTCATAGAAAGTTTATAAACATTCTCACATATTCCATATACAAACATAACTTTAAGCACATGCTTAAATCGCATTTAACTTGCATGCTTTGCTGAATAGAGATGGGATTACTCACATCCTTAATAATAAACATGTGTCTAAGAACTTTGCAGCATTGACCTCACTAAATATGCCTTATTGCACAGTTCTCCATTCAGTTACATAAATCCAGAGAAACTCTGGCCCTTTCTGCTTGTGACATTCCCAGCCATAAAATTGCCTTCCTGCCTCCTTCCTCCCTGCCTGTATGCCTTTGTTCTCCCTACAAAGCTGAGTTCAGTGCATTTCCTGTACGTCCTTTCAGGCTGCTGCCCTTAAAGTGATAGAGCCTTGCAGCAAGAAGAGTTTCCTTCCACAATGAAGAAAGGGCTAAGAGCAATTCCAGTCACTCAGGTTCCTTTCTCAGAGATGAACGTTAGGGATCAGAGCCTCTCAGGCAGAAAGGTGGCGGGAGGCATGTAGCAGCTTCTGAGCTGGTTGCCATACTCTTATACTTCTCCATCTGTTTCTCTCATTCTCATATTGATACGATATTCTAGTCTGTTCCTCAGCCTTTCTATCAATAGGTTTTGCCATCCTCTCACTCCCTAATCTGCTCCACCATCCCCTTCTCCTCTGCCCTTGCAGCTCCACCATCCTCTCACTGTCCACACTCCCTTTCAGTGCTCTACTACTTTATCAGGCCTGCTAACCCCCTTATTTGTTTCTTCACTACCACATGCCCCCAGTCTGTTTTTACATCCCCTTTCTTCATCCCTCTGCTCTTCTCATTCTGCAGCACTGCTCCTGAGCTCCTCAAAGGTCTCATGCAAACTGCTTTCCCCCTGATCTGTACCAGTGTAATCTATTATTCGCCTGTACTCATCTCATCTGCTCTTCTTCTATTATTCCCATTCATCTTCTTATTTTCCCCAACAGACTAAACGCCTCTTTACCCTCTCTGTCCTGCTCCTGAGTCACTAAACGCACCTTTGGAGAAGTAAAGCTCAGGGCAAAGAGCAGGGAAAGGACAGGAGTTTTGCTGGGATTTCACTCTAATGAGCATGTGCAGACACTTTGCACACACTCATACATCGTAAGGCAAGGCAGTTTCTGCTGTTACACAAGCGCTCAGCACCAAGTACTGCACAGCAACACCACCAATGAAACTGTTCCTGCTCCTAGGTAGGTGACTTTTCTTCCCAAACAAATGAAGACCAGATGGAGACGTCAGTGGGGATGGGAAAGATTAAACTGGGATGAAGGGGTTGGTGGGGGGCGGCTGCAATGCAGGGAGTGGACAGACAACTATTGGGAAGATGAACGAATTAAATGTTTCCCATAGATTTGGAATCATGAGGTAACCCCACTGTTAATATTACTTTAAGTAAAAGCATATATTTCACTCTAGGCTCTGCTCAGTAAAATCAGAGCTTTTGTTTTTTCCCAGTTTGGGATGTACTTGGGATGTGCACTTCATACAAGCATTTGAGATGCATTAGAATCCCACAGATTTATGCTTTAATCTCTAAAAAATACTCTGTACAGTAAAAATTAATGAGTGAGAAGATGAAACTTGGTAGGAATGGAAATTATTTGGGTTACATATAATTGTTAAAAAAAACTATATGCAATGTTTAATCTTTTGAATGTTTCAAGAAACTTTTATTTGTCCAGAAAAGAAACTTCTCAATTAGATTTCTTGGATCAATGAAAACTATAATTATAACACTAGACTAGTAAATAGCTAGTATGATATGTGGGTAAGAAGAAGCAGAACTAGAGGGGAATAGTGTTACAAAAAGGGATATTATAGTTTGTGACTATTACTATGTCTGTTTAACAATCTATGAAGTACAAAATTCAGAAATGTTCTTTCCTGTCACCATTATCTGCCCAGTTTTTCTTACATAACACTTATTAGACCTTTATAATCGGTTTGTGAATGCTAGTTTCCTCAAAGCATTTCCTTTGCCTTTCTTTGTGTTGAAAACTTTTATCCCATTTATATCATAGGAAACTATCTACAGTATTCAGGAATCATTTGATGGGCAGATGGGGAAAGAAGACAGCATTTTTATAATGCAGACACGACATTCAATAAAATTGCCTTCAAAATAATTTTGTGTTTTTAAATGATAACCCCACAAATGCTGTTGCAGTTCAATTTAATCTTCTGAGACTGTGAATATGTTAGCTGGATATGGATGCAAGTGCTTAAAAACACTGATATGAGGATCTCTTACTGGTATTTTCACTTGATATCTTTTGAATAATTTGGATTACTCTCCATATGTAACTTTAGGTACAAATTAAAAACAGCTGGTTTATTCTCTGTGAAAACTAAAAAGCTCTGAAAATCCTCAAAATATTTTTTTTCGCTACCCTCTCTGTGTCTTCCACATCATTTGCCATTTTTACACTTGTTGAAAATATGAATTGTCTTCTGTTGTCCGAAGACAAATACATGTGCTAACTTATAAGTAGCCTTATCCAATAGTCTCCGGGGCTGGAATTCAAACCTTTGTACCATGATTCCATTCTCTTTAATGTTAAAATAGCTGGACTGTCCCTAGCTAATCAGGTGTGTATGTCCTAGCCTGGGTTCAGAACTCAGAATGTTTTTAAACAACCAGAAACTCATGGTTTTTCTTTATTTCAGTGCTTATGTCCACTGTGCTGGACTATGGCTATGCTTCGCCGAACTGCGCCATGCCATGCCATAAAGATGCAAAGTGTGAAATTAAGGGTGGACACCAAGGCTGCTATTGCTCCCCAGGATTTACAGGAAATGGCATAAAATTTTGTTACGGTAAATATATTTTACCTATATACAGCACATTGATATTATATGCAGAGCTGGAGAAATTTACTCATTGCTTGCTAGTTTGAGGGTTGAATCTTATAACCGGGACAGTACTTATCTTTGCATGGTCTCAAAGTCAAAACTAATGCCTGACCCCCCACCAACACTAGGGTTATGGAGTTCTTTGTTGCTTATTTGGCACATTACTTAAGTGCAATTTACCAATCAATTTTCTTTTAATCTCTTACTGTAACTTACTGTACTCCATCTATTTTGGTTTTGTTAGACCTGATTTCCCATTGTGATGTTATTATCTTTTTCTTCCTATAATAGGTATTGACATATCTTCTCCCAAGTTATCTTAAGGTCTTTCCCTTTGAGTTTTTTGAAGCTTGAGCTTGGCAATATTGCCACTATTGTACCCATTCGTACCCATCTGTACTCGGAGGGAGTGGAATCTTTTCCAGACACATGTAGTAATAGCAAAAGAACTAGGATTAGGCACAAGTTCCACAGGAAAATGCCTGGGACAGAAACCAGTATTTTCCTGCCTGCTACAGCTGCTGAAAGTGAAATATGTAAGAATTCTTTCCAGGAATTCTTAGTTTGTGCACACTACCAAAAGATTTCATCTCTGGGTAATCTCCAACAATAGGTGTTTGATGACTCCACACCCCCCACTTCCTGGCAAGCTTGCTTGCGGTCTTTCTTTCTTTTTCTCTTTCATACTTTCGTTCTTTCTTCACCACTCCTTTTCCAGAATGCATAGCCTTCTAGTTGCTGCAGTTTATCTGGAAGGAGGAGGTCCTGTTACACAACCGCTCCCATTGCTTTCTGGATTCTGAGAGTAGAGTCTCTATAATCCTCCCGTCCCTTGTCTTGATTTTTTACTTCTCTGTCCTTTTACTACATAACTGGGATGCCTGTCTCTGCTGCTGGGAAGAGCTGGGTCTAGCTGCAGAGCTGTGAAGTCAATCTGATTTGTCTATTTTTTCACAGCGTCCTATGTAACACTCATACAAACTAACTAGACTGGGCAACTTGTTTTTAGCATGCCATGAGAAAGCTCGGAGCAGCAACAAAGGCACTTGGGCTTGCTGTGAGCAGAGTTAGGAAGATATCACTTGCTTGGTTGGCTTTGGTTCAGGCTTAGAAGGCATCTTTGTAACAGCTGGAACATTTATTATTTTTTTATGAAAGCAAAGAACTTGAGGACACTTGCTTTGAAAAGCTGCCTGCCCAGTATATCTACAGGGTATTGATATAGCTAGTCAAATAACAACATACTAGATACAAAATATAATTTAATAAACTAATGCCAACATTCACCATCTGAATATTTTTCACACCCAATTATTTGCCTATGGAGCTGGTCAGATCAAAACAGCATATAGTCTGATTCTGCAAACATTTTTAGTGCGTGCTTAACTTTCCTGCCATGTGTAGTCTGGCTGACTCAACTCTCATTGACTACAGCATGTTTGCTGAACCAAGATTTATATCTGTGAATAATTCCTAGAAAAAGAAAGAAGTCCAAGATTTTCCAGAAGTATTTTGCAACTACTGGCCTTTCCTTCTGACCTACCAGCTTCTTTCTGTTGTACATACCTGATTGATATTTTATGGAGATGAGGTCTGATTATGAGTTAGCAATTAAATTTACAGGGAAGAGTACTAGCTCTTTCACTGTTCTTCTTCCTCAGAGGCTAATGGATTTCATACTTCTATATTTTACTTTGGCTAGTGATTTTTTTCTATAACTAGACATAAAGACACATATTGGTCACCATTTTAAACAAACTGCATCAAAAACTGACAAATATCAATCATTCTCAAAGCCTCAGGATCGATTAGGTGTTTGTTACGAGTTATGCTTTATGTCATGTGCTGAACCCTATAGAAATCAAATTTCTACAGGCATGCAGCAAACCAGCTTCTAGGCAGATTCATGATGCACAACAGTAAAATCAAAATTGTTTGAGGCAAGCCTGAGGTCAGGAGCCCAATATTTTCTTCAATAAACTGTCTGCAAACCAAAGTCATTTACCCTCTAGCTAAATAGGGCATTTATTGAGAATGGTGAATGAGATCCCCCCTGAAAAAGGGCTGTGTTTTCCAAGACAGAATATTATACAATCCATTGATAATGCTGCCCACCATCTTCTAATACCATAAACAAATTTACTCTATTTTAATTGCATAGATTCAAAAAAGAATTAAAAATATAGCCAGATTAAACTTTATTATATGTGGTTTAAAGCTAAGAAAATGAAGAGCAAGCAGAAATTACTTAATGATGTATTGGATCGTGTTATTCTGAATTTGATGTGAAGTAGGGTAACGTAGGGCCTCTGCAGGATACACTAGGAAATCTGGTGGTCACACCAGATGACAAAGCTACCTTCTTTAACAGTTTCTTTGCCTCCATCTTTTTGAGCAGGAACCAGGGCATCCCAACAGACCCAGGGGAGGCACTGCCAGGCCCAGGGTCAGTAAGAACCTAGTCAGGGAACTTCTGGTGTGTTCAAATCAGCAGGTCCTGATGATCTCCACCCCAGAGTGCTGAGAGAATTAGCAGAGGTCACTGTGGGACCCGGGCACAGCTTTATGAGCATTTATGGTGCTCTGGTGAGGTGCTGAAGGACTGGAAAAGGGCCAATGCAGTCCCCATTTTCAAAAAAGGAAGGAAGCAAGACCCAGAAAACTATAGGCCCGTTAGTCTTACCTTGGTCCTGGGGAAGCTCTTTGAGAAAATTATCCAGGGGCACATCTGCGAGGGACCAGCAGGGGAGATCATGCTTACATGGAACCAACATGGGTTCATTCGAGGCAGGTCCTGTCAGACCAATCTGGTGGCCTTTTATAACCAGGTCACAAAATCCTTGGACGTAGGTGTCATGGTGGACATAGTCTTCTGGACTTTAGGAAAGCCTTCAACACTGTCTCTCACCCCATTCTCATTAAGAAATTAGGCGACTGTCGCATCAATGCCTACACAGTCAGTTGAGTCACAAATTGGCTGGAGGGCTGCATGCAGAGAGTGGTAGTGGAGGGTCTTTTTTGACCTGGAGGGATGTGGGCAGTGGGGTCCCCCAGGGCTCGGTCCTTGGGCCTGCACTGTTCAACATCTTCATCAGCGACTTGGACAAGGGGATGAAAAGCACCTTGTTCAAATTCGCAGATGACACTAAGATGTGGGGAGAAGTGGGCATGCTGGAGGAGAGGGACAGGCTGCAAATAGAATTAAACAGGTTACAGGGGTGGGCGGATGAGAACAGGATGAGCTTCAACACTGACAAGTGCAAGGTGCTGCGCCTGGGGAGGAAGAACCAGCACCATACCTACAGGCTGAGGAACTCCCTTCTCATCAGTGCAAAGGCAGAAAAGGATCTTGGTGTCATTATTGATTCCAAAATGAACATGGGCCACCAATGTGGGGATGAGGTCAGCAAGGCTAACCGCACCTGGTCATGCATCCACAGATGCATCATGAGCATGTCCACGGAGGTGATCCTCCCCCTCTATGCAACATTGGTCAGGCCGAAGCTGGAGTACTGCATCCAGTTCTGGGCACAGCACTTCAGGAGGGATGTGGACAACATGGAGAGAGTCCAAAGGAGGGTCACTCGCATGATCAGGGGGCAGCAAGGCAGGCCCTACGAGCGGAGGCTACAGGACCTGAACCTGTTCATCCTCCACAAGACAAGGCTGAGAGGGCATTTGGTGGCCACTTACAAACTGGCCAAGGGGGACCAGCAGGCAATGGGAGAGTCCCTGTTCCCCCCGAGCACTACCGGCAGTAACGAGGAATAATGGCCATAAGTTGACTGAGAGTAGATTCAGGCTAGACATCAGGAAGCGCTACTTGACTGTCAGGGCGGTTAGGATCTGGAATCAACTTCCAAGGGAAGTGGTGCTCACCCCTACCCTGGGGATCTTCAAAAGGCTTGAAAATCACCTAGCCAGGGTTGAGCCCTGTCGATGGCAGGGGGTTGGACTGGATGATCTGCTCAGGTCCCTTCCGACCCTACTAACTATGAACTATGAAGTGGCACTGTTCTAGAGGTAGCTACTTATTCTTCTTCAGTTAATCTTAGACTTATATGACAATATTCTATTCACCTTCAAGGCTGATCATCAGTCAACTGTTAACATAAGCTTTAATCCTTAGTATTCTACCTTCTACCTTTACATATGCATTTTAGCTCATTTTCTTCCTTAGATACTTTGTAAGACACAATTACTATTGTTACCATCAGTAATTTTGCATAGTGTATATATTTATCTTATTCTCTGCTGTACTTTTCCTTCTGCATTTTGTATTGATACCTAAACCATTCTAGCTGCTTCTTTGGGGTATGGGGGTGGGGGGAGTTCAAGCTTTTTCTGCCTGCATGATTTTCTCTGTGTAAAACATTTTTTACATCAAAACACACCAGTTGTCACTTTAATTCCTTATCAGTTCATATAGCTAGAAACTTGTCCCTCTATTTAAAGGGGCACTCTCACTTATTTTAAGTTTAATTTGTCTCTTTACTCTCAGTTGCATGTAACACCTCTTAAATACTTGTAAAAGTTTTTTTTCTGCCGACTGTCTTTTCAACCTGATACACTTAGATATTTTCCCTAGGGTTTATTGTGGAGCACAAGACAATAATGTCCTGTTATGTTTATTTCCTAGCACCATCATTGATCAATCATAAATCACTGATGTCAGCATACCTTAGGGAATGGGATTTGTTAGTTAACTGCTATTCTCTTTGCCAGCCAGCTAAGTGACGGCAGAATGTGCAAGATTATTGGATTTACTGTGTGTAGATAAAGACATATAGATATGAATTTAATTTCCTGGTGTCAAAGTCCTGGATTTCAATTAGCCATTTAGAATAGGTGGAGTTTTTCTCCGTGTTTCCAGCCTTTTTAAATTAAGCCATATTTGAGACTTTCAAAAAGCACTTTTTGCCCAGTCTTACAAATAGTTCTTCCCGTGCATAATCTCATTGTCT